CCCCATTGATAAAATATATCATATAGCATTTGATAGAAGTTTTCGGACATTGAAGTCAACTGATTGAAGTGCTTTACTTGTTATTAGTTCTTCGGGCGCCATGATAGTAGAGTTTGATTTGCGTCAGACCAACCTAACTCGGAATGTAATACAATGTTTAGGGTGGTCAATGTATATGATCATCTGATAGATAACAGTTGCGGATATGGGGAGTCAAGAATAAAATTTGAGGCCCAAAAAGTTTTAGTGTCTAAAATCTGCTTCTTTCCCGCATAAACTGGGCAATTTGGTTTAATAGAGCCCTTCCTCTTGATTTTCAGATCCGCCCTTTCATACTGGGGTGCATTTTGGTCGTTGTAAGATATCAAACATTAATATCCACCCTACACATGTACATCGGGCAACCAAACAGTGTCTTGGCCTAACCTAACGATGTCTAATAAGTAAACGTGCAAAAATGAACGCTGCGCATAGATTTAGATGAGAATGTGCTAATTGGGCGGGCGACAGATTGACAGTTAGTCATGATCAATTAACTGTTCAATTAAAAGCAAGTGCCTCATGTCGTAAAATTGTTTTAAAGAGGAAAATATTTAGCTAAAGACTCGAGAAGGTTGTTCATGATGAACTTGAAGTGACCCAGACAAAAATGTTATGTGCTTTGTATTTTCATTGCAATATTGCACCATGTAACGCAACACAGTAAGGGAACCCTTTGCATTCGTTTGATTAAAAGATAGCTTCCTCTGCTCTGGGAAGTTGCTACGACATTTAGATGTGGTGATCTTAATCGTTATGGCTCAGCGGTTGAGCATCAGAATTTAAACCGGATGCCCTGGGTTCGATCCCCATACGGGTCATTGAATTTGTTTTTTATCTGGCAGGTTACACTACAGCTGCCCAGAGGCGCCCTCGGGTCGTTATAATACTAAAACTTTATAAGTCAGTTATAATGTATGGAGTTTGCAACATCCATGTTAAGTTAATTATTTTTCAAATTTACCCAATGCCAAATACAAAAGGCAAATGAAATTTACAAATTCCATTGCAGTTTTTTCAGTCTTTTCGGTTCATGATTTTTCTCACACACAAAAATGAAGTTATAAGAGGTGATATGAAACTTTAAATTGTCAAAAACGTGGAATGTTGAATCTGATGATTTATATTAGGGTTCATTTTCGGGATGAAGCTAATCCTCATGTAATATGTTTAACTTCACTAAAGAACAAATAAGAATAAAAAGGTATACCATGTCAATAATCATATGAACTCATGAATATGTATTTCTGAACAATACAACACAAGATATGCAATAATAATATCTTGTACGGAAAGAACAAGGGCATCGGAAGGTTCTACAACCTTCGAATAAAAAACGTTTGCTAGACCCTGTCTATTTGTGTCAGTAGCATACACCACTGGGTGCATCTTCATAGCGCACACGATATATTTGGTGACACCATCGCCCAACTGAACCTGGAGAAGGCCCCGGAGAAGGCCAAATATGCTTTCTTGTAAAAAGTGATGAAAAGTTATTTTAGATCCATCAATCGAACCAAATATTGTGTTTTAAAAGGCGTAACGAGTTGAATTTGATCGGTAAGATGTTCTGAGTTTTATTTTTTTTGACCTGAAAAGATTTTGAATGTATTTACCCATTTTCGTAGAATAATGTAATATACATTATAAAGCGCTACTATTAATACTGACTAAGGATAAAGTGCAATAATCAAACAGTCAAAGTGAAAGTAATAATTTTGAAGGTATTTTACATGACTTACATTTTCGACAATCGATATATAATTAGTCGATGTTTTCTGGCTCTGGGTATTCAATACCATTATGCGTTAAATCAATAGAGGAGTTTCTAAATGATTTTGAAATCTCGCTAATTCTCGTTTTTTCATGAGATTTTAAGAGATTTGCACATTTTACCTCTAATGACTTACTTTTCTTTCTTTTTAATAGCATATTTGAATTCAGTGATATGTTTCCTACAATAATAGCTTTGATTTACACATTTATGTCATTTAAATCATTCTCCATGACATTTTAAAAAAACTTGGGCCAAAGCTCCATTGATGTTATGCTAAAATTCTTTAAAACCATGGTTTAATCGTATGACAACCAACATTTTCATGTTTAATCACAATATGTTCATTGACAGGGTCATTTAATAGCCATGTCATTCAAATTTCAGACAGATTTAACTAACAATCTTTGATAAATCATGAAATTAAGTGACTATTGCAAGCTTTTAGCATAGAACTCAATGGAAGGTTGGCCCAAGATGAACAAAGGTGACATCTATTATGTCAGCTTTATTTAGAAACTATACTATTGAATAACCTCGATATTCAGACCCGATTCTTCAAAAAAGTATTTGAAGATCTTATTAATGAAACGATTTTGCAGGTAGAGTGGGTGAAGTAGTTGGTGAAAACAGGTGTCTAGTTCTCCAGTGGTCTGTATCTAACCGCAGAAACTTGTTTAAGTATCTGTTTAATTGGCTCCTAAAGCTTTCAGTGCAATTTGTCGGGCCCTGGGAGCAGATCGGGCATAAAGATAAAATATTTTATATACAAGTTGCTTGAAAGGAATTCGCCGGTAGTTTTTGTAGATTTTTCTGGATAAGTGATCTTCATGACCTTGATCATACATCGTAAGGTTCGATATCCTGTAATTATACGGATCAAAAGTTTTTCAAATAAAATACTGTCGAAAGTAGGTGATTAATTTACTTCCAGGATACTGTATGATGTGGTTCATGACCAAGAAAATATTGTTTTACACGAGTTGACCTTCAGCTTTGTTTCATTCTACTAAATATTTACACATAAAAGTATTACCAGGAGTGGGGTTCGAACCCACGCGGGCATTCGCCCATTGGAACTTAAGTCCAACGCCTTAACCACTCGGCCATCCTGGTTATATATTATATATCAAAATATGCCTTGATTTGAACAGCCGGTCAGTGTGTATATGAAAATACATCATGATGTAAAAAAAAGTACCTCTCCAGGCTTTGATTTTTTGATTCTACGGAGAATGCATTTTATCTATGGTGCGATCATGATTGTATTGCAGGAAACCCACTAGCACAGAAACATTTTGTTTAAAGTGAATGTATTGATATCAATGCTTCTGTCACAATGATTTTCCTAAACGTGTCAATGGTTTTCCTAAACATGTCAACAATAGCATTGCAAAATATCAGTGTCATAGGGTTGAAAAGTTAAGTTGACATGTCTGCGCCAGAGAAGCACGGATTATTCTGGAATAGATACCATGGCCTAAAAATACATAAATCTTCATCATTTATCAATGTCAGTATCTTTTTTTATTTCAAATTAAAGTTGATCAAATACAATACCTTGAAAGAAAGATTTATAAACTCTACATAAGGGCGTTATGGAAGAATACTTTTCAAGTTACAATAAGCAATTATTTTTCGGACACTCTGTAAATCTATGCCCATATTAGTCATTGTATGTCAATATCACCTTTCCGATATGAAGTACTGATAATCGCGCGCTGGTTGCTTTTTATGGGGTAATCGGTGCTTTATAATAATTTAATGATAATGGATTTTGATGATTCAGGTCTTTGTAGAGCGTCTGGAATGACCATTAAAATTTCAAATAGTGGGCGATATCTCTAAATATAAAATTAACTCAACATCAAACCGCTTAATTTCAATATTTTATGACATTATATACGTCTTCAAGACTGGTTATCAGAGCACGATGAAACAAACTCATTTCCATAGTAATTCAGTTACTTTCTCTCCGCATAATTGAACTTTGATATAATGTTCCATAAACTGGTAACGGCACCATTTTTCCACTTAATGGCCACTGCTTCCGACTAAGAGCCATACTAATGCATTTTTATTGTAGCCAATATTTTGGAAAACGCTTAAATCAGGCAAAGTGATATTGCAAATTAAAAATCGAATTGTTCGTGCTAAATGTGCAAGAAATAATAACCATCGGAATGAGATTTATTGTCAACTGTAAAGAACGATAAATCTTAATTTATTGAAATTGCTATTAATTGTTTTCTTCTCGACATTTATTTGTAATTTGATTATGGATTAACGCATCAATCGTTATTAAATCAGATAAGTGCACCTGTAAATAAAAGTTTGATAAATGAAATATTAAACGAAAGATTTATGAAAAAAATATTTGGTGATGCTACAATGTTGTGAATAGAACATACAAGTGAAGGAAAGGAAATACTCATGATCAGTTGACGATTAGTTGTTTTTCTAATACAATAGTATAATATTATAAGTTGCCCCTTTGGATTCTTATAATGCTACCTACCCTACAGCTAAGGCCCATGGGCTCAGTAATGATTCCAACTCTCTTTTAAAGAAGCTAGACCAAGCTGTTTAAAGATTAAATCATAATATATCTATTGTGTTTCATCTTTTTAAAATGGGCTCCCAAAATGTGTGTTATGTGAGTTCCATACAATTTTCAGCTATCAGGACTAGGTAAACAAATGTTGAATTACGTGTTTCAATCATTTATCTACAAGAGCATATACTGTATATGTCACCTTTATCCCATACTTAGTAGTGTTATAGGTAGATAACATATGGGAATATAGTTGATATCTGAAGTGAGCGAGTGATATATATATCTCCCGCTGAGGTGAGCGGGAGATATATGTCTATCACCCGCTCATCAGCAATTCCCGGGAATTTCGTACGGTGCTATTTTCCCTCGGTAAATATAATATATCAACCCTCGGTCCCTACGGTCACTCGGGTAGATATATTATATTTCCCTCAGATATACCCTGTATCAAAAACTTCCCATCAAATAACCTCGAGCTCTATATACTGTATGATGGCACGTATTTAGGTATAACTCCATCATTCATCTACTGGGCGTAAATGGCATATCGATCACAGATAATGGCATGTATGACTCCATCATCTGTTCAATGAATGTTGATTTCAATGTCTGTTTCTTCTGTGATTGCAGGTATTACTCCATCATCTACCCATTGAACGCATACACCATTCACACCAAATCAAAGACGCGCAAGATCCTAGCGGCCACATGGATCGTCCCCCTGATCGTAGCAGTCCCCTATGTGTTTAATGCCAGCCAGACATTCGCAATGGAGGGCTCCCATGGCCGAATAACGCTGAAAATCTGCCAGGATCGCTTTGACGACATCGATCGTTGGATGTACGGACAGAATATTACAGAATTGGAAACTGGGACATTTCGCAAAGGATATTTCTATTTCTTGTTTGCGGTGATCTATTTGATCCCGTTGATCGTCATCACGGCGACATGTATAAGGATAGCGGTGTGTTTGTTGGAACCCATATATGGCTCCAATAATATGAAGTTGTGTAGGAGAGGGTCCAGTGTGGTGAAGAAAGAGGAGAGTAAACGGAAGGTGAGCCAATGCCTGTTCTATTATCCAACCATACTTTGCTATAGTTAAGCTGGCATACTTCTATGTATGTAGATTAAATGATTGGACAGGCCAAACTTTCCCGTGGGTAGGTTAACCATATTGTTTCCTGGAGGTAGACTATGCAGGCCCGTAGCCAGGGGGGGTTCGCAGGGTTCGGGCGAACCCCCCCCCCTGGCCAAAAATTCTTTCAAAATCATGCAGTTTTTCACCATTTTGAGCACTTCTCAAGTAATTTTAGCCATATTTGGGCCAAAATTGTCAAATGTGAACCCCCCCTGGAAATTTTTGAAAACTGAACCCCCCCCCCCCCCCCCCCCTTGGCAAATCCTGGCTACGGGCCTGCTATGACAAACCATACTTTCCTGTGAATAGACTATGACTAGGTAGAATAAGTATAAGTAGGCTAAGACAGACCAAACTTTCCAGAAAGTAGACTATGGACAGACCAGACTTTCTTGAAGATAGACTATAACAGAAAAAATGTTCCTGAAGGTAGACTATCATATAGTATGACAAAATATATTTTCCTGTTGGTATATGACATTCAGAACTTTTTGCAGGTATATTTTCCTCTTCAAATATTCCTACTTCCGTGTAGGTTGGCTATGACAGACCAAACTTTCCTAAATGTAAACTATGGACAGACCAAACTTTCCTGAATGTTAACTATGAACAGACTAAATTTTCTTGAAGTTACTCTTTGGTCGACTTGCATGTAGGCAAGTAGGCTATGACATACACATATTTCTTGTACCTAGGCTCATACAAAACTTTCCTACGCAATGTGTTGTTTTCTTTATGTAAGACAATGGCAAAGAAAAGTTTCTGTGGGTATCCTAAGGCAAAAGAAGTTTTCTTTGGGTGGGGAGGACAGACCGAGATTCCCCATAGATTTGCTATGACATACATCACTTCCCTGTCGGTGATTATAGCATACTAGACTCATACCAGATAGCCTATGACGCATTAGCCTCTCTTGCGGACAGCCAATGACGTACTAGACTCTTGTAGCTTGTCTACAACATATATCAAGCGATATTTTAGGTACAACTAGTATAGGCTAAAAGATGGCATACCTATTGGTAGGTAGGAGTTGAATTGAATTAATTATTTTGGTGACTGACGGATAATTTTTGTGCTGTTTGATAAGCCATAAGTAATGTTATGTTTTTAACAATTACGATTTCTTTTAGGTTTATTGAAAATTAAATAAGGCGTTTAACATTTTATAATAGCGAACGGTCTGATTATATTGACTGCCTCAATAAAAGATGAAGTTTAATTATTTCATTTCGATGACAACTAAACATCTTATTCACCGGTCGATATCGGAAATACAATCAGAATAGACCATTTATGGTAGATTATGGTAGATTATCTACTCATCTTACAAATCTCAGGTGATTAAATCTATATCTCTATCAGTGTCCGATTGTCTCTAAATCCCTTGTTTCTTTATGCTCTGGAGATATGGTATTAATGTTCAACATTTTTACAAACTGACACCGTCCTATGAAGTGACAATTTTAATGATTGTCCAACATACCATTCATGTGCACAGTGTATTAATGTCCTCCAAATGTATCACACTGGCGGATATGGGGGGGGGGCCCAGGGGCCCGGGCCCCCCCCCCCTCGGGTGGGCCCAGAAAAAAAAAATTGGGCCCAAAAAAATTTTTGAGCAAAAAAAGGCCTTGTGGCCCCAAAAAGTGGTCCTTTTTGGTCATAAATGGGCCTCAAAATTTCAAAATTTGGGCCCAAATTTTGGTTTTAGGGGCCTAAAAAATTTTTTCGCGCAAGCGCGGACATTTTTTTATCAGACAAGAAGTTTGGGCCCCCCCCCCCCCTTGTTGGTTCCCAGATCCGCCCCTGGTATCATCATTGTCAGTGTTGGATATACTCGCCAGCACTCGACACTCGACAAATGTCCGGTCTGAAAAATGATTTGTCGAGTGTGCTTTAAAATGTGGTCAAAACTGTCGAGAGATTTTATTGAAACACGATTGTGTTTTTATGATTATTCACTTAAGATGGACGTGGATTTATACACTTAACATGGACGTTTTATTTAGTCGAAAAAAAATCCATAATTATTTCTCTTTGTTATTTTCATTTTTGCAAGGTGCGATCAATTTGCGACCGTTTGAAGATTTTTAATTATCGATAAAATTGATGAACTAAATATAAGTACGGTATAAGGGTTGAATAATAGCAAGAAGCCAGGCCAAATTGAATTTTGAATGATTTATTTCAGTGTTCAGGGTTTTTATTCATCTAAAGATGAAAGATTATTCAGACCAACTTTCATTGGAGAAGTCCTGGCAACAACAAAATGTAAAATTAAACCATGATCGACGAGATATTCTCTTGTCATGGTTCAATGTAAATACATGTAATTATAAAGATTAAACAATGATCTTATTACCAGGATAATAAGATGTTCAAAAATGCACATCGGGATGATCAGACCTACAAGTTGAAACAAAGTTGAAAACAAGTTAGATAATAGAAACCTGAGCTAGGAAATGATGTTCTTTTTAATAAATCGTTGACGTGTCGCTCAAACTACAAATGCCGCCAGACTATAAGGGATAGTAAGCTAATAAAGCAGAGGAAGAGGATGGTCATATTCGCAATTTAATTTCCAACCCTCCTGAGGGGATCTTGACTTACATAAATTTTATTTTTTAGTTCTGGGATTGCTCGTTTTTTCGCCCATTGCCTATTCGCCTCACCTACTTATATTTGCCTCATTTATTTATTTGCTTCACCTATCTATATTTGCCTCACTTGTTTATTTGCTTCACCTATCTATATTTGCCTCACTTATTTATTTGCTTCGCCTATTAATATTTGCTTCACCTATTTATATTTGCCTCACTTATTTATTTGCTTCGCCTATTCGTATTTGCTTAACCTATTTATATTTGCCTCACTTATTTATTTGCTTCGCCTATCTATATTTGCCTCACTTACTCATTTCCTTCGCCTATTTATATTTGCCTCACTTATTTATATTTGCCTCACTTATTCATTTGCTTCGCCTATTTATATTTGCTTCACCTATTTATATTTGCCTCACTTATTCATTTGCTTCGCCTATTTATATTTGCCTCACTTATTTATATTTGCCTCACTTATTTATTTGCTTCGCCTATTTATATTTGCTTCACCTATTTATATTTGCCTCACTTATTTATTTGCTTCGCCTATTTATATTTGCTTCACCTATTTATATTTGCCTCACTTACTCATTTCCTTCGCCTATTTATATTTGCCTCACTTATTTATATTTGCCTCGCTTATTCATATGATTGTAACAGTCAAGTTGACATTCATTTAACAAAAAGGACATGGTGAATGTAATCTTTGAGATTTGTTTTTTTATAAGAAAGTTACTAAAGAAATCACTAATATATAAGCCCGGGGGATTTGTAAAATGTGTCAGGCCTTGTATGGAGCGTGAAATAAAGTTCAACAGTTCATAGTATGGCTTTTAGGCTGTATTTTTGTATGACCGCGGAACAAATGAATTGCGTAATATTTCAATGAGTTTTCTCCCCGGGTATCAATCTAATTAGTGCGCTTGGATGAGCTGTTTTTGTCGTAAACATGCTTTAGTGACAACATTAATGCCTACCCAACATACAATGATATGCACTTTGTGTTCCAACATACAATAATATGCAGATTGGTGACAGTATACATATCTGTTGTAACATTATGAAACTATTCGCCACCAAGTTTCAGCTGGATTAACTCTGTGAGACACTGTTGCCATTTGTAATACCCACAATCATCTATAGCGCTATTTGCGAAATACATAGACCATGACACATTAATGTTAAGGTCGTCTGAAGATATATGCCAGGTATAATTAAGAAGTTAGACCTTGCCATACAAAGTGCAGATCACACGCTTCCGCTGGGACTCTGTAATAGATCGCTGAAAATGAGCTATTTAGACAAATTGCATTTTCCTTGACAATGAACAAATTATCAATCAGACCGAATCTTCTCATCTCGTTCATTTTGAGTGCTGCGACATGGGTGCTTTGCACGTTTGGACATCTTTTTACCCTTTGCATTCGTTCGACTTCACTTTCGACTGTGCGCAGGCTAACATCTTTTCAGGGGGGGGGGCTAAAATTGTGAAAAAACGGGAAAATGTCCCATTGGATAATATCCTCTTTGGCTTTAGTTTTGCCTTAACAATTAATGCCGAGTGTTAATTTGCCGAATTCAAGCTCCTTACCACGACACTGGTACTAATAATTGAAACAAGTCATTTTGCCAAGTTTCATCTAATGCAATTTACCTGTTTTAATTGATATGTAATCGTATATCAAATATATTCATCACTTTCTCCATTGCATCCCTAATATCACAACAATATACCCCATACATCAATTTATTAACACGTACAAACGGAATATACTTGCCTTAAATTAAAAGATGTAATTTAGTATTATAAGGCGACAACAACCAAACATTAATAACTCGGATAATAACAAGTTATTCGTCTGTATGTGATTAATTGAATCAGGACACTCGAAGCAGATTATCAATTATATCTCTCTGTTTGACGTATCTCCCTGAGGCATCATTTCTGACATTTTTCTTTTTACTGAGCACCGGCCGTCTCTCAAAAGGCTCCATAATGTAATTAAAGGACATCGGAACGTTGTCAATAAACTCTCTCTTCAACTGATTTCATAACTTGCAAAACTACAGGACGGCCAAAAACTGCCCATTGGGCCAAAACTGTAATAATTTCTTGAAAGTTTTGCAATTGAATGGTTATTAGGTACTCGAACCAAAAACTAATTTTCACGCTATGCGGGACAGTTCAAGATTTCTATAGATAATCAAATACGATGGAAAACGTAATATTTGGTTAAATTTTTATAAGTCAAATATTTTTATCATTTTGTATGCATGTAGCTGTCCATTGGTCAGAATACTACATGTTCAAAATTTAAACATTACCAACTGTTTTGACAAGACAGGTATGCCGTGTGACCTTAATAGCCCTTTGGCCTCGAATAGGAGAAAACTGACATTCGATAATTTAGGTATGATGGCCCAAGTGGCTAATAAATGTCGTCACACTTTTGCACTTTCTCGCCTTGAAAAGAAATCATTGTCTTATCCCTGGAAGACTTTTCGACAAACCATGGATTAAATAGTCCCAAATGGCGCTTAAAGTACAAAATCATTTGAGACTTTCTAATGAAAATAATTAGGACTAAAGTACTATACACACTGATGTGGGAATCATGTTGATAGGGCTTAATGGATGAAAGTTTTATCATGTACTATATCAGGTAATGCTGATTAAACTCGTTGTTGCTCAACAACACTTCTTGGATTAACTTTAACAGTATTTTTCTTTTTCATCCTTTAACGTCGGTGGGTAATAGAATTAAAAGTCTCCTTAATGCCAATATGTCAAGCAGGTCTTAGAGCTGATAAACGAGGGGAAGCTTTAATCTGGATTACTGAATACAAGGCACAGAACTTAAAAAGAACGCGGTTGTTGAGCGCCATTTCCTGGCTGTATCCATTTAACTGCCAGGGATCTTTTCATCTAGAGCAATATGATTTATAGACAAGAGATATTTCACAACTGTATAAGTGTGAGGATTTGAATCGTCTCCTGTTATTACTAGCGAATCATAGAACCTATATCATGTTACAAGCGGGAATTTATTTATTTCCTCTAAAGCTGATTTAAATTATTGCCCCTGTAGATGTTACCGTAACTACCTAATAAGCCTTTATAAACACCTATATTGATAGGTTTTGCTGAAAAACCCATATGTCAGACTTGGCTGATGTCATTTATGTTAAAGCGTCTACCATACAATGCACTTGACAATGTTATAAGTATTGGTAATTGTATTCCTATTGTGTACTTTATTCCTGTTTTTATATTTTTGTTACACTTCCTCTCCTATAACAATACTGTTTGTCCTCGGATTAATCTTATTGTAATGCGACATGTGGCATATTTACATATTAAATCATTTAATATTATTTTCAATATCTATATGTTCCAGGTTGCCAAAATGATCATCGTTGTCGCTGCAACATTCTGTTTGTCGTGGTCGCCGTTTTATCTCGTGACATTCATCAGTCAGGTGCAACATCCAAATACCTTCATGCGAGAGTCCAACTTCATCTTTACGATGCTCGCTATCCATTTCAGCGGGTTCCTCAACAGTTGCGTCAATCCTGTTATTTATGCTACGATGTCACATCGATTTAGGAGAAGTTTTGTTGAGATCATAGGCATTATTTTTTGCTGTCTATGTTTCTTCAAACTGGACGAAAAGAGATTTGGACCAAAAGTAAATAGGGTTTTAAACGCCTTCTCAGCAGCGAGTGACGAAGATATTTCAAAGTCCTACCGAACGGAAATTAAACGTCTGTCAAACGCAGGTTCGAGTATCAGATACAACAGTCATTCGCTGCACATACAGGCAAGAAATGGAGCAAAACTAAATAATCATCGTCCAAAATATGTCTCGCAAAGTCCGGATAGTCAAGCCAGTCCTGAAATGTCCAGGCTAAGCTCGAGCGGAGGGAATGGCCAAATAGTCAAGGATTTAACCTCTGATGGCCACGCAGAAAAAATAAGAATGGAGCATGAACCATTATTATCTAACGGGAAAGTAAATGGGAATTACCTCGTAGCTTATTTTGATAAGCCAAATAATAAAGTGAATGTTGCAACAGAACGTGAAAGACCTTGTGGAAATATTGACAGCACAGAGGCAATCTCTTGCAATGACAGAGAAACCAACAATGGTGCTCTATTAGTCGCAAATGAGGTCATGAACGACCCCAATTATATATCAGTTCAAGACACGCCTAAAGACAATTCTGGTCCAAATGACAATGCTTCGCCGAAAGGTGGCGACTCTAGTGAATATGACACACCAAAAGCATTAAGAAAGACGGTAACTCCTATTTTAAACGACATTGCCTCTTTGCTACACAAACTTCCATCCGAAGTTAAATCTCCCAAGGGTCTAGAAACTGAACAAGAAGTGGAAAGGTTTCTTCAAAGTAATCCTGATGATCTACTCGTTAACTAAATTAATGCTGAAGTATTATATTTATTACAAGGTGAATACACAGTCGTATTCACATATATTTTTACCTTCTTACTAATTATTTATAGCATTAAAGTGAACAGTGTATACGGGGTGGGCCAAATAAATATCAATTAGAACGGGCTAATTGTTTAAGTAGGTAAATTAGAATGAAATACAGTAACGATGTTTTGTAAAGAACATTGTAAACGAGTCGTAAATCACGAGGCGAACTGATTCGTTTGAGTAGGAAAGTTATCTCCCCTTTTTCTAAAAAGGAAATTCGTAGAATGTCGCTGAGACATTTTCTGTATCGGCCTATTTAGGAAGTTTTGTATGAGGCACACTTGAAGGCATATATAGAATGAAATATAACACTCAACGCAATTATATGGTTTTTTTCATCATATGAAAAATGATATTTGTAAAATGATGACTATATTATTGTGGTGTCATTAGATAACTTGAAAATCGAAATTCTAACTGAGAAAAAGTACCTCGTGATTTATTTTTTGACTAACCATTTGATATCTGAGTACAATTATTCAAACGTTTTTGTTTTCATGATATTTACACAAAATATGCCACCATTTTAATGAAATCATTAAATTAAACCTATGTTTGTTAAAGTACCAGGATTTTTCAAAAATTGCCATTTTGGCCGGCCCACCCTGTAGATCCTACTAGAATATATGTTTAGCATATAATATGCACTCGTATTTATTGATAATTCAATATAAAAGCGTATAGTACTGTAGTGTATATATTTAACAGAGGAATGAATTAAAATGTGGACGTGTGTGATAAGTAATTTCTTTGTTAGAATATTTGAATCGGATTTATCAAGTTAGAATAAAATTATTTCAGGATCAATCGATGGCTGCAGGTAATTTCCGCACTTAACCTATTTACTTAACGAATTTATTTTTAATAACTCCTACAATGTATGTATATAATAAGTTCATGGGGTTAAAAATGTCAAATCCAGGTATCATTTAATGATCATAATGATTGTATTTGAACATAAATAATAAACTGAACACGGAACACACTGACCACAATAATTTGAGGAATACTTTAGTTCCTAAGAGACTATGAAATTGTTTTACACCAGATGCTGTAAAATGAATTGATTTACGGCTAGTTTAGTACAGACATTAGGTATAGTTCGGCATAAAATAGAAGTGTTTCAGTTTATGGTCATTTCTAGGATGGGTATCTGAGAAACTCCTAATTCTGTCTGTGAACTCGCAGCTCCATATATACAACTGAAACAATTTACAATTTAAAACCATGCAGTTTTCACCATTCTAAGCGTTTTCAAGTGATTTTTGGCGAAAATGTGAAGCCCCTGGAAATTTGTGAAAAGTGAACACCTTTGGCAAAAGCTAGCTCATGGCTTGAAGTGATAAGTATGTTAAGCGTTATTTGATACATAATTCCATTCCGATAATGATATAGTGAATATTGAATAATCAGATGATTAATCACTTTGTTCTGTGGATATGCCAACGGGGTTGATTCTTAACTGCAATACAAGCAAAGAAGACATGAACATGTAAAATGTCACAACCTGCCATTTGTTGCAGACGTCGGCCTCCGCCCGCCAAACGACGACTGCCGAACACCGTCCACAAAATAAATTAGAAATTATAACAATATGTCATCATGTGTGGTGATGACATAAAAATGAGACTAATTACTTATCTACAAAAATGATCATAGCATAAGAGAATCACTTTCTGGCATATCAGAACACCGTTCATACACTGTATATGTTATATTTTACAACAGAGCGTGGTAAATAAGGGAAATGTACGTAGTAATAAGGGAAAACATAATGTTCTGTAAAAACCTGTATCCTATTAAATCCGACGCAGGGCTACAGACAGCATCCACTACGTACGTGCCTTCCTTCTTCCGAGTTCTGGAGGCCTGTGTTCGGAGGATGATTAGAACCCGACCTAAGTGCTTAGCATGCTAGAAACTGCATAACAACTCGTTGAATTATTTTTGATAGTTGGAAATAGCAATGTTTACACGAGGCTGCATATATCATTGACAGCATTTACACAAGGCTATTTACATCGTTTACGATGCTCACATTAGTCTATTTACATTGTTTATCGCATACATTGTTTACTTGTAAAATGTTATATACAGCATTCCTTAGGGCAGGCTAAATATTGTTTTCAGTATGCATTGTTTACAAAGGCTATTTACATTGTTTACGGTGTTTAAACTAGGATATTTACATTGTTTATAATAAACATTGTTTACAAAGGCTATTTACATTGTTTACGGTCTTCAAACTATGACATTTACATTGTTTATAGTAAACGTTGTTTACAAAGGCTATTTAAATTGTTTACGGTGTTCAAACTAGGATATTTACATTGTTTATAATAAACATTGTTTACTAAGGCTATTGACATTGTTTGCAATTTGAACACTAGCATATTTACATGATTTATAGTAAACATTGTTTACAAAGGCTATTTACATTGTTTACGGTCTTCAAACTATGACATTTACATTGTTTATAGTAAACGTTGTTTACAAAGGCTATTTACATTGTTTACGGTGTTCAAACTAGGATATTTACATTGTTTATAATAAACATTGTTTACTAAGGCTATTGACATTGTTTGCAATTTGAACACTAGCATATTTACATGGTTTATAGTAAACATTGTTTACAAAGGCTATTTACATTGTTTACGGTCTTCAAACTATGACATTTACATTGTTTATAGTAAACGTTGTTTACAAAGGCTATTTACATTGTTTACGGTGTTCAAACTAGGATATTTACATTGTTTATAATAAACATTGTTTACTAAGGCTATTTACATCGTTTGCAATTTTAACACTAGCATATTTACATGGTTTACAGTACACATTGTTTACAAAGGCTATTTACATTGTTTACAGTATTTACAAAGTTAAAAAGTGCAATGGTATATGGTCTACAAATAATGACGGCTTCAAGTTCAGGCTATATGTGATAGATAAGTCAACTTATTTAAAGATTCCAAAGTGAGGCGAAGGATTTGTAACAAATCAGTCGCACTGATGGTATAAATTATAATTACGAGTTATAAGAGGGAGTTGTAAATAGTGACTAATTGTATTTAAGTCTATATTTATCAATGTATCCTAAAGTTCATCATTGAAAATGTGTGCACTAAAACAAAGATAAAAAATATGTGTCATATTAGTGTATCGTATACGTGAGAATTGTAAACTAAGATATTTGAATAAAGTATTTATCGCAGTAAATATTTACGCTATTATGTTGTTATTTTATGAACAAAAAATGAAAATACATGTATACCACAATATGGATGATAGGCTCATCTACACTTCGAGAACCCCATCGTGTATTTTCTAAACGTACTATCGTTAATCATGGTAGTACACTCCCCTCCATAAGCTTGGTAAATTGAACTATTCATTAATAGCAAAATCTTGATAAATCTTGATTAAACGTACTATCGTTAATCATGGTAGTACACTCCCCTCCATAAGCTTGGTAAATTGAACTATTCATTAATAGCAAAATCTTGATAAATCTTGATTAAACGTACTATCGTTAATCATGGTAGTACACTCCCCTCCATAAGCTTGGTAAATTGAACTATTCATTAATAGCAAAATCTTGATAAATCTTGATTAAACGTACTATCGTTAATCATGGTAGTACACTCCCCTCCATAAGCTTGGTAAATTGAACTATTCATTAATAGCAAAATCTTGATAAATCTTGATTAAACGTACTATCGTTAATCATGGTAGTACACTCCCCTCCATAAGCTTGGTAAATTGAACTATTCATTAATAGCAAAATCTTGATAAATCTTGATTAAACGTACTATCGTTAATCATGGTAGTACACTCCCCTCCATAAGCTTGGTAAATTAAACTATTCATTAATAGCAAAATCTTGATAAATCTTGATTAAACGTACTATCTTTAATCATGGTAGTACGCTCCCCTCCATAAGCTTGGTAAATTGAACTATTCATTAATAGTATATCAAAGTCTGTCAATGTTTGAATCCTAATTTCGTATTTAGGGGGGTGTATTTTATTAGTTCCACACCTAAGTCAAGGTATACATTGATAATACATATCAAAAGTACAGGGTGAGCCAAAAAAGGTAACCCAAACAAACCTTAATAACTCAGTCATCCAATATGGTTTAATACTCCTACTACTTCATTCAAAAAAGTCCCGTTGGTCTTCGATGGTCGCGATTAAATGGCCATTTTACAAAACATGCTCAAAATTCCATACTGGTCAGTTTTGTCTTTGGAGGAAAACTTGAACCCATCGGGTTCACGCACTCAGATATATTGTGTAGTGGCTCTCAATTCCCTTCCAATTTTAATGGTGACATAAAAACAATTCTAAGATAAGCATATGATACTATATAAGAATATAACATTTTCATTATTTGAGTTTTCCATTTTATTTAAATGGAGAAGACGGGATATATATCATATTCCATATCAATGATATCGTGTCTATTTTCAAAAATTCCAATAGTTCTGCCTTGATTAGAATTGGGATAATTCTTCGATATTTTAGGTTATCTTGCAACTAGTTTTGAAAAGGTTGACATCCCTTTTTGAATTTTTTATTTCGAAAAATAATATTATGGATTATAAGAGGAACATTGACATGTCTTTAAAAATTGTACACAATTTAATTCACAGTCTGCTAAATAACTAACTTTATGTCTTTGTGTTAGATGCAACTAACTCCCTGTGTTTTTGAGTCGAATAAATAAAAATATTTTTCGCTTCGAGATCATGGCGATGATAAGGTTCAAACGGTTATCGTCTCACTTAGAGCTAAGTGTACTTCAGCTTTTAAATACGACCATGTGATGAGTGAGAACAAGAGCTCGATCGATAATTAAAAATTGTGGAATCTTTCCAATTTTGATACCCTTTGAATTTTGACTTCATCTGCTTGTACTTTTTATATAAATATTTTGCTTTTGATCTCCCAATCCCAACCGAATGGCTAGTTTATCTACCAAGACTGATTGCCAATACGATTGCAATGTCTAATCAGGACCGCAGCCATGGGTGGTTCGATGGGTTCGAGCGACCCCCCCCCCCCCCTCCCGGCCAAAAATTCTTTCAAAATCATGCAGTTTTTCACCATTTTGAGCACTTTTTAAGTGCTTTTGGCCATTTTTGGACCAAAGTTGTCCCAAGGGAACCCCCTGGAATTTTTCAAAAAGTGAACCCCCCTTGGCAAATCTTGGCTACGGGCCTGCTAATACTATACAAATATGTCATTCCATTGTGGTGATACTTGTGGATCATTCACGAGGAAATTCCTAGCTAGAAGCTTAGTCACGGAGTAGTCGTGGAAACGTAGTCAATGAGTGTAGCCGGTCCTTGGGCTCCTAGTGTAACCCTTTTTTATTTTCCTCAAAAGATGAGGGAAGTACGTAGGCTTACATTCTTGTTTAATTCATACTTTCG